GGTGATTTTTACCTTATGTATAATATATTTCTACTGCGTTACTAACGCAGTAAGAGCATTCTTTTGCATATTTTGACCTCTTTTTGTAATAAACGTGGGTTGTAAGTGCCATTGATAATGTGTAAAATGTTTCTTTTTGGTTACTGTACAATATCCATTTAATTTTATTTTCAAAATTTTCATGAAAATGAGCAATAATCTGGAGGTGTGCTGCTTTAAAAACTGCAAAGCGAGCACATATACATGTAAAAGGTACAGGAAACAACTCACAGAGCACTTTCTTGTCTCTTGACGTCTCGTCATTTTTTCTCCAAATTAAAGCCAAGAGCAGCCTTGGAAAATGACATTTACTTTCAAAACGTTTAAATTGCTTGTTTTGGTGTGTGGTAAGTGTTATTGTAGTTGATGTTGTTTTTGGATTGGGGTTTTATTGTCGCTGTTGTATTGAAAATGATGTCTTAAATTTTAAACTTTAAACTTTTTAATTTCATTATAGATCCAAAACTTTTACATCAAGATTACATCATGAGCGTCTAGAAACACCTTAAAAGTGTTATCTCACAAACCATTTGAATAGGATGTTCTTTTTTTGCCACGAGCAAATTCACAGTTATTTATGAAATACATCTCCGCTCCGAAATAAATTGATTTCTTTAAAAAAAATATTACAAACCAAACGCACATTTGTCCAACAATAAGTCTTAAATATTTAAAGAAACTTTTAATGAAGATGATTAAAATACAGATTCATATAAAAACTTTTACAAAAGTTTTTAGATCATTATTAATTGTACATACAAGTTCAAATGCTCACTGAAAAATTACAAGGAATTTCAGTTAGTACATTAGTACATTAATGAGAGTTAAAGACAACAAATTTCTACAAAATGGGATTTGTCTTACCATGTGGAAATGATACCAGAACCATTAGACAAGACTTAAAATTATCTTTGTTTTTCCTCCCGCGACCAATGCCAGTTTGGATAGGGTAGGTAGGTCGATAAAATATCATTTTTTTAAAATATTGATTCTATCAAAATTATACAGAGTTCAAAATAAATTGAGAAAGTTAAGCATCTGTTTAAATTTTAGAAACATATTTTCAGTTTTAATCAACATCTATCCCAGTTTGTATATTTTCAATTAATAAACATGAGATGGATAATGACTTAAAATGTACATGTTTGAACTTAAATATAGCCTTGTTTTGTTTCGTAGTAATTAGTATAAAATTGTTTTTTCATTGATAACTACTGGAAATATAACAAAACATCTAATTGTGGCTTAAATATTTCTTTGCTTTAAGAAAAATCAGAGCTATCGTCATGTCTGTTTTTCCGTCATGGTTCATATCTTCAGAAACTATCGAAGCTGTTCTTTTAACACTTGGTGTACTTTTGTATACTTTTTCGCTATTACAATAAAAAGCCGTAATGAATATGTAATGCATAATGATAATGATAATGCAAAATTATGCCCCTACATGACTTAGATTTTTAGTTGTCCTAAGCTATATGATAACGTTCATTTCTTCAAAATTATTTTAAACTTTGAGTACTTTTTTCTCTCCCATAATCATTATTTTCAAAAGAATGGATTAAAAATTTTGCCGTTATGTCCCTTATTTTAGCTAACCAATGCACGAACAACTACTTGAGTGATGATGTGTTTTTGGCGTCCCTAGCGTTCGACAATTTCTTTTAATAACATCACCTTCTGAACCAATTAGGGATTTTGAACAAACTTCACAGAAATGATCTCTAAATGATCTACAAAAGTTGAGTAAATGTTGCCAGTCTGATGTACATGTATAAGTATATGAAATTAAATCTTTAAACTCATCTGAGAAACTACTTTGTCTTTGGCATGTATCACCAACCACATTTTGGTCCTTCACGAAAGTTGTATGCATTATGACCCTAAGGTCAAAGTTAATCCCGCATTGGTATCATTTTGTTTGCACAGTCTTATCACAAAGGAAATTAAATTTGAATGTTTTCTGGGATTAAATGTTCTAGAGTTTAGTTATTTTTGGCATTTAACAGATAAGCGGAGTAGTTTAGGCTGATTGATTGGACATCAAACACCGATGTGGATAAGAATCCCGTTAGGGACGAATCCCGTTAGGAATTTAGGATTCTTTCTCGTAATGAAGCTATCTAACCAACTAACAGAACGTTGGTGGTTCTACTCGGGTACCCCTTCGTTCCTAAAAAATTATGGGGGGTGTCTGGTATCCTTGACAATGTAAATCATTTTAAACTAAGTGACGCATTCTCTCCCCAAGGTTTTTTTTAGAGTAAAACATTGTTTTGTAAATGATCGAATGTAATGCTAAATGTCAAATATCTAAACTCTGTCTGTGGAGAACCTTCATAAATATTTCATTTTCAAGTCTATTTTAACTCAAATAGCATCAAACTAGAACCATTGATAAATACAGTAAAAACCCTCAATTAAGACCACCATCGGGACTGGTCCAAAGTGGTCTTAATTGCGGGGTGGTCTTAATTGTGAATATTCTTACATACTTTATGACCATGATCTATTTTAGACATGTTCTATGGACAAACAATATGTATATTAACAATATAAAGTATTTTATAATAATAATATATAATCTGATCGAAATATATTTCTGAAGAAATTTAACATTAAATTCTATTTGGTCTGATTTGAATATCAATTATCAAATGATAAATATAATTCACCTGTCAAATCAGAAATTAATTTTTCACAAAATAAATGTGCTGAAAGCAACATTAAACCACTCTAAATTTTACTTTCTCACCTTTTTTCATACAAAAACCCAAATAACAACAGTTTTTTGACACCTTGTGAAATCAAGTGTCAAGCTTAAGAGCATTCAAGCAGATAATAACAACAAATTTAAGATAAGATAGGTGTTGACTTTGATATCAGTGGTCTCAATAGTGGGGTCAAATAAAGAATAAAACAATGAAATGGGACTGAATCTGGTGGTCTTAAAAGTGGATAAGCGGGGTGGTCTTAATTCTGGATCATGTAAACATTGATATAAAGAACAGAAAATTCCGTTCTTTTACAAAATGGTCTTAATAGCGGGTGGTCTTAATTCCGGGGTGGTCTTAGGTAGGGATTCTACTGTATGACTTTTGTAATCGGCCACCTTATGAACTTTCTGGGTAGCTTTGTAAAATCAACCTTGTCATCATGTGGAAATTGTTGTTTAACGTGATTGCGGATGCACTGTCCACATAAACACTGCCATCTCTGAGCAATCTGTGCTAAGGTGAGCTAAAAACAAAAGGTGCATGTAAGAAAAGGTTACTGCAGACACTGCTGACTCTGCGTTCATTGAACGCCGCCTTTTCTTGTCGATCTTGTTTATCATATTTTATATATTTGTGATATCCGTCCATATTTAATTTATATAGCAGGTCTCGAGTCGAAAACAACTTCATGAAAAAACTGACAAAAAAATGTTACAATTTTATAAAAAAAAAAGCAGATATGAATTACAAAAGAATAACTTTAAGTTTCATAAACCTCCCATTTCTTATTCATTATTTTCCTCGTTTTATCTCCTCCTTTGTTAGAAACAGGATGTTATCAATGTATGTGAGCTAGCATTGCATACCTGTTTTACATTTATAAAATCGTGAACTGCGTTTTAAAGGTAGGAACATAAAAGAAACTACATGTTGAACCGCATACATTTTTATTTATTTTATTTTATTTGCTCAAAAGTTTTTTTTATTTTTTTATTTTGTTTTATTTTTATGTGCGTGTCCCATGATACAGGCACTAATTGGTTGCCACTATGTTTTGTATTATACGGCTTTCTTGCTGCGATCACGGGTGACCAAACGCAGCTTTGCATGTCCCTTGTCGAATACTCTCGGATAAAGAAATACCGTAACGGTATTTACCATTTCTTTTCTTTGTTTAACATGCAAATATCTACTACCAAATAAGACATTAATTCTTATAATGACGTTATATTGTTCTGAAAGATGTCTCCAAATACAGATGTATATATCAATTTATGAATGCATAATGATAGTGCTATGACAATAATAAAATGGCACAACTGTCTGTGTAGGCAGATTATTTTAATCCCTAAATAATCATTTTACGCAGTAAGTGTTATAGTGATGAACGAGTTTAATACGTTGAAGATTTTCTGTGTAACTAGAAGAATTAAGGAAATGCAAACAATAATTTGAATTTGCTTACTTTAGTGTGGAAAGCACGACTTACAAAAAACGTACTGGTTGACATGAACTTCTCTGTAGTAATTGATACACGTATCAACAATTTCCTAATAAGAAAAAAATCTTTCCGGTTGATTTTTCTCTCTAGCGATTTGAATAAGTGCTTATGTTATCTATTATGGAAGAAAAAACTGTGTTCAAATGTCGTCGTATTCACAATGCCTTAATAGTTTCCAACCTTCAATGCTATATAGTAATTAAATGACTTATGTGTTATTGTTGAAATAACCATCAAATAGTTTTGTATGTTTAACAAACATGGGTACATACGTCATCCATAATACATGTTATAATACTATAAACAACAGGTAAAATATACGTGCATTAGAACAACAGGCGAATATATTTCAAAATCAGTTTCAGAACTCCTTCTAAATGGAAATAACTGAACAATATGATGTAACAGGGTTGTTAAATAGGGCTGCATTCATAAAGAACGAACTGTTTATTGTATACATTGAAATTTTAAATAGATTACAAGTGTATCTTATGAAGACTATTACTAAAAACTGCAAAACGAACACATATACGAGTACATTTTAAAAAGCGCAGATAAAAAGTCACAGAGCACTAGCAACGTAGTCTCTTGGCGTCACGTCATTTTTTTTCCTCCAAACTATTATGACGAGAGCAGTTGTCACATTGTAAAGTGACCCCTACAGAACAATGATCCTCGGCTAGTATTTTATATAAAATAGTGACCCCTTCTTTAAAATAGTGACCCCCTTATGTATAAAATAATAACTGGGACACATGGACCAAATTCAGTATAAAGCATGCTCCATCATTGTTTACAGAATTACGGATTTGGCGAGAAAGGACTTTATCTTCATGCAGATAATTGCGGAGGTAAATCTTGTTTTTACATTAACTTATGAATAAAAATATTCAGCATATTCATTGATTAATAATACTAAAACAAGTAATATAAAGTTATTTCCGTTCCATTTTCTTGTTAACAGGTCAAAATAAGAATAGATACACACTGGCGTATCTTTGTTGGAGAGTAAACAGAGGGTTACATGAACACATTCAATTGAATATGGCTATTCCCGGGCATACAAAGTAAGTACCTTGATATATTTATACATAGCATCGTTGCGGCATATTCGTAAGCGTTGGTTATGTTACTAAAGTAATAAAAATCCTTATGTTTCGTCACAAAATTTAATAAAATCCTCATATCTTATTCAGATATAAGTGAACACATAATTAAGTAACAGCCTACTCAAAAATATGTGACGAAGTGGATTTTACTACTACATTGTTTTAATGGTTATGTGATAACTAATTTGTTTGTACTGTCATTCTTTAAGTCTTGTATTTTATTTTTATCTAAGGTGTCTTGTCGATGGTGGCTTCGGGCGAATTAAAAAGCTATTCAAGAGGTCTGATTGCGAGAGTCTGAGTCAATTTGCAGACATTGTGGATAAATCGGCAAGGAACAATTTCCCTGTTTTATATCGAAATGAAAACAATGATCAAAACAGGGAAATGGTAATTAATTTCTACAGAGTTTAAACAGATTTTCGATAACTAGTTAATAATATAATGTAAGCTTAAACATTATAACAAGCATGTATAATAATGATGATCACTATCACAGCCACGCCGATCGCTAGCAATACACATACATAGTAGCAACAAACAAAAACGTTTTTATTTTAAATGCAACAGAAGAAAAGAAAGGCAATACCTAAAATCTTTTTTCACAAAGATGGTATATTTTTCAATAAGAATATACGTTATATACATTATTACCTGCATTTAATAAAATAACATTATTTTAACACAGGTATGACTGGAAGTCGTATTTGACGCGATATTTCCTACAAGTGAAAGGCATACAGAAATACACTGCTTCAGATTTTCTGCTGCTAACAAGTCGGCTGTGTTTGTAAAGGAAAGAACAGATAGCGAGGAGATAAGAGTTCCGCTGATAAGACGTAATACTGAAGTTCTAACAACAACCTTTCACGAGGTCATACAGCCCGCAGGATTAGTCGTACACGGCGCAAATATTTATACCGTAACGTAAGAAAATATGTGCGTCCTGCATACCAAGATGGCACGTGCCCGGCATACACTGAAGAGTGATTCACGCTGCATGCGTACAGACTGACTGATGAATTTTGTTATTGTTTTCAAGTTCAGTTGTTACCATTTTTATAATTAAAGTTTTGCTTTTAAGTTTCTTAGGTTATGACAGCAGGGGCCAAGTCTTATAATTATAAAATGTAATTGTTTTACATGTATTATTCAAGAATACGATAATTTTGAAAATAGTGTTATAAAATAGTTTTTAAATTATATTTTAATATCTTACTTTTATAAATTTTAGTATTATTCTAGTAAGTGCAAAATTAAAACTTTTGAAACACTTGACTCATTTGTTATCTGCTAAACTACATTTGACGTCGTCATAATTATTATGACGTTACGTAAATCTGTCGTTGACGTTGCATTAATGTCCTCTTTTAAACCTCTATATCTCAAAAAGTATTTGCAATATCACTGTGAAATAAAGTGCATCGTGCACAATAATGCATGTCCTAAAATATTAGCCATAAAACTAAAAATCGATAAAAAAAAATGCCCGAGTGCCCTTTTCTCGTGGCGGCGGTCATATTTTAAGTCAACGTCATATTACAATTGCGTATACATGTACTTGTTGTTGCTGTTGTTGTGACTGTTGCAGTTGTTGTACTGCCGCAAAAACAACTGACAAAACAAAAGTAAAATTTAGAGGTCCCGCTAAGAATAAGGGAACATCTAATAAAAATGAAATTTCAAGTTTTAAATGCTAAATGCAAATTCTCCTATCTGAAAGAGTGTTCATTTTCAGTTAAAACACAGAGCTTCGGTAAAGAATGAGTTCAAAGCTCAGAGCAAAGCAATCTTTTTCTCTCTTTAAAGCATATCAGCTATATATAGGCCATCATCCTTTAATAGGTAAATAGGTATTTTGACTGAAAGAAATCAGTTCTTTATCACTTATTTATCAAACGTCGCCGGCGCCCTCGCTAATTAACGTATTTTCGCTCTTCGCCCCCGCCAATTTACATCTTGTTGATTCTCGATTTGTTGCTTTTTTGGCGGGATGGCGGGACAAAAACATGCTTATAAGCGGCAGTGCGGGGAGATGTTTCATAGAAAACGCGTTATATAGCGGATGTGCACGGCGAAGTTTTATTTATTAAACTTCTCCCCGCGCTACCGCTAATTAGCATGTTTTCGCCCACGACCCCGGCGTTTAATTTATTAAATTTCGTTCTGCGATCCCGCGAGTCGAAGTTTTTTAACCTACGTTCGAGTCCCGCTAATAAGCGTGCCCCCGCTATTAATTCTCAACTTTTACGCTTGGCGGGGTCGCGGGACGAAAACACGAGTGGCACAAAACAGCACATCTGATTATGTCGTTTGTAGTTTTCCATCGATAAAATCGTCTATGGTTCTTCTCTTGCGAGGTTTTAAAACCATTAAACGTCCAACATAAATAATGACATTTCGCCTTACTTGACAGTCATGTTTTTGCCGGCTCGCCACGGCGAGCCGGTATTACGTTAGGATTTTACTGAGAAACAACCTAAAACTCCGAATCCATCCAAAATTTTAATCGAAGCTTGGCTTCCAGCTTTCTACAAAATTTATCTATCAGGGCTAGGATCCAAAATACTCTAGCCAATCAAATTTGATCTTACATAGCGTCAAAAAACCTTCAATTTTCACGCCATTTTTAAAAAACAGCAAGTATTGTTTTGAGCGCAAAGATATAATGATGATTAAAATGTTTGTTTTCATGGATTCTTTTCAATAAATCATATTTACACTGACTTTTGATTTAGCGATTTCACCAGTCCTGTTTTCTCTGTAGTAAGTTTTAGTTTGGTTAATTAAAATAAACGACATCTGGTTCTGTGCATTTTTTTTCTTTTTCCTTTTTTCCGGTCATTTCATCCTTTCCGGTATTTAGTGTATGTATTTACTGGCCGGGATCCGGGATCGTATAAGATATAGAGGAAAAAACTAATAAACTATATTTGTGTTGATTATTGTCGTGATGAAAGGCCATTAAACGTTAAGTTTTTTTTTTATTGTATGTAATGAACGTTAAATTAATTTAACTTAGGATATAGATATATTTAGAGCTATTTATTAACAAAATCACAATACTTATACATTTTTGTAATTATATGCCTAATTAATTGGAAAAATCAAAGACTATATTCTTGAATTGGTCAAATCCCAGGATCTCTATATGTTTTAATAAGATCCCAGCTTTTCTGAAAACAATATTTTTGAACTGGCCAATTCCTGGGATCTCTTTATATTTTAATACGACCCCGGCTTTTCTGAAAACTATATTCTTGAACTGGTCAATTTCCGGGATCCTATTTTTTTAATAGGATCCCGGCTTTTCTGGCTGAATTGATTGACAACTTGTGTTTACTTTAGGACTTGTGTCTGTCACTCATTCCAATACTAAATAACATATTACAACTTAACTTCGTATAAAGAGACATCTTTATGAATTCTACTTATCTATTATTTTTTCTGGTCAAGGTCAACAGGCCATATAGTAAATGTGCTTGTATCATAGTTTGGGGACTTTTCTGTTGAAAATGTGTCAGAGTTAAATCGTATACATATACATGTACAGTGCGTTAACTGGAGTGCGGGTATTAGTTACCCGCACTCCAGAGCGTGCCCATTGATTGGTTCATTTTTGCTGGGGTTTACATATTGTGACGGAAGAGAAAGGGAAAGCGATAGAAATATCATATTTAGATGCTCGTTCATTGGTTCATTTTTGCCGGGGTTTCATATTGTGACAGCAGGGAACGTGTTTTTATGTTTGACTATGATACAAAAGAGAAAGAACACCAAAACACTCGGCAATCTGATTTATACTCGGGAGCTACGCCCCCTCGTACAAATCAGATAGCCTCGTGTTTTGGTGCTCTTTCTATTACATAGACATAGGGACTTCATTCTATCTGTTTACATGCATCTTCATATATACTCATATTCCTCTTTGATAAACTGAGAGAACTGGCTTCCATAACTTTATATGTCACTTTTTTTTGATGTTCGCTGAAGTCTCTTCAGCTAACAGAACTGTCATTTTTACATTTAAACACACCCCTGGAAAAAATTACGAAGCGAGTCGCTACTAGCTTTTTTAAAAGCTAACCTTGTTTAATATCTACGTTAAGCGCTCTCGAATGTTGTTTTCACAATTAATGCCCCAAGAAGGTAAACCCTTTTACTTATATACTTCAATGTGTCATTCATTATTGCGAATAAAAGAAAAATAAAATATTTGAGTCGCACAAAATGAAGGAAAGTTCTATATTTTTGCACAACATAACATGCATATGACATTGTCAATAAATGTTAAACAGAAATTTCTATGCTTTAATGGAAAATATTGCAATTTGAAATTTTAAAAAACAAAAATAATAAGAGCAAACAAATTTGAAGTTTGTAGGTTAAAATTGAAAAAATATGCTAGCGTTAGAAACATTGTCATGCATGATGTGAGTAATGACAAAGAACAATTAATTATCTTAAGTTCAAAAATGAAACGCAGATAATTCTGGGAATACAGGAGCTTGATTTTTATAACTCTTATCCATATGTAAAAAGTAACATTTGTTGATATAAATTCCAAGTTCAGGGGGGAATTATTCTGGAAATAGTCATGCTAGCGTTATGAACCTTGTCACACAACATGTTGGTAATGATCAGAAATATATTTCTGCCTAGGACAAATTCACATTTATTTATGAAAAGCATCTCCGAAATAAATTAATTTCATTTAAAAACATTACAAACCACTCTCTTTCTAATGGAAAAAAGCACGTTTGTCAAACAATATGTCTTAAATATTTAAAGAAAATTGTCATGAAGATGATTAAAGTACTCATTCATAAGAAAAACCTTTGCAAAAGTTTTTAGATCATCATTAATTATACATACAAGTTTAAATTCTCACTGAAAAATTACAAGGAACTTCCATTACTACATTAACAACATAGTACATTATGAAGAGCGAACGACGAACAAATTTCTCCAAAATGAAATTTGTCTTACAGAGATACCAGTACCATTAAACAAGCTTAAAATCATCTTTGTTTTCTCCCTCCGACTCATACTAGTTTGATCGATAAAAAGAATATTTTTAATCCAACATATTGTTTTCTATCAAAATTATAAGGAGATCAAAACAAATTGTGAAAGTTTAGCACCTGTTTTAAGTTTAGAACCATATTTTCAAGTTTTATTCAACATCTACCCCAGTTTGTATATTAACAATTAAAAAACATGAGACAGATATAAATATTATCTCTGCTTCAATGTTTAACCAATTTTTTCTGGGTAATAAAATGTTTAGGGTAGCTGTGATTTTGTGTGTAGGTAGCGGGAGGGGAAACTAACAATATTTTATTCCAGGCCTTACACAGCTTCAATAATATGTTATCGCAAATCTTAAC